AAACGTAAACTAATTCAAAACATTGATCATTCAATAGAACCGACATAATATATATATATATCGATACTTTTTTCATTTATAAGATACATATTTATGTAAAGTTAAATTTTCTATCTATAATGATAAAAAGCAAATATGACATTAAGGAATACATATATATGATATCATGGAAAACGGAACAAAAGTAAAAAAAAAGAGAACAAGCAAGAAATAAAGAATATGAATAACAGAAAATAGTAAAAAATAAAATACTAATAAATAACAAAAGAAAACTTAAAAAAATCGATATACCGATAGAAATTCAGAGGGATCTACTTATGATACAAATTAATTTAATTAACATGTTTTACATGTGTAATTGAGTAGAATATTCGGACCAAAGAAGGATGAATTGATCGGAGAGTTCAGACGGTTACACAACACCGAATTGCGTGAACTGTATCCTGGTAATATCATTGAGGTGATTTCATACTGGCGAATCAAATGGGCTTGTAAACTTGTAAACTTGGTAACGAGAGAATTCCTAAAAGGTTAATATTGCTGTACCGAATAGTAAACTCCGAGGGGTATACCGAAGCGAAGGTGGGAAGATTGCATTAAAGCTGATCTGAAGGGACTAGGTTTGGACGGCGAAAGGTGGAGGGAGGGAGGTGTGTAATAAGAGAATGGTGGTGTCGGCATCGAACCTTCGGATTCGCTAAGCCTTTTATTATTAACATGTTTTACACTGTTTATTAATGGCGATGGGTCCAAAAATAACAATTAAATTTTTCAATCCACAGATATTTCTCCAAAAAATAGAAAGCAGTTTTTGGATAACTTCAAGGTACGTTTGACATTTCTCAAACTATGGGAAACACAAATTTTTAAACGATTTTTCCCTATGCTAGTATTTTCGTAAAAAAAAAAATGTTTGGCTCATCGCCAATGTCATTATTAATTAAGTTAGATAATCGTGTTCCCATAGTTTGTGAAATGACCTTTAGGTTGATTTTCATTAATAACTAATTAATAACTAAATAAACAAGTTACATTTTACATCTATTGCTGATTATATATTTTTGTTAAACTATTTGATAAAAATGAACTGTAATAATTGATATACAAGTGTTTAAAATCTGTGTCTTTTTATCAGATAAAATGTGTGTCTTTAAAACCGTATTTGAATAAAAAAATTCAATTTTAAGACTAATTTTAAATCTAATTTTCTTCATTAAATCTAATTTATTCATTTTATTGAATTACATTGAAACACTCACCAACAGATAACGCTTCATTACAACGTGTATTTCAATATTTAAACGATCAAATAAGTGAATGATAAGCAAACTGTGTCGTGAAATCTTATTGCAATATTTAATTCCTTCACGGTCCATTTGAGCTAATAATCGATCTTTCTCATCGATGTAAAATATCGTCCTAGCTTATAAAAGTGAAGAGATGAAACGAACTGAAGCCAATTGGGACGACTGCTTCCTGTATACTAGAAACATGGCGGTGGGTTTGTTCACATCCTCAACGGAGCGTGCCAAGTTGTGTCTGGTCAACATGAGCCTCATTTCTGCCAAGTAGCACCACCACTTTGGCAAGCTGCTTCTCGTTACGGCTGCCATCTCTGTGTCAATGAAGAATGAGGATGTTGCTCCTGGGTAGAGCTGTTATCAACATGTTCGTTTTCTCTCTTCCTCATCTCTTCTTATTAAAATAAATCTATAATAATAGCCTAAGGAGATATTTGTAAGTAGCAAGAAATTCACCAGCAGGTGACATGCTTAACGACATTTCTTTGAAGTTTTGGGTGTAAACACTTGAATATTGATGTTGTATTTTTCTTGAATTCATCTTATAGAACTAATTCTCATCTTACCAAGACACATTTAAAATCACCAAACATCTTAAATTTTGTGTGATGATGATGTGCAAATCACAATAGGATTACTCTAAACGCCAATAAGACGAAAGCCATTCTGATCGGATCTCCCTCACTCCTCAAATCCATACAGATACTCCCCAATCTTTTCCTGAACAACTCACCTATCTCATTCCATACTTCCGTAAAAAACCTTGGTGTTACATTCGATCAAACCCTCTCCTGGAAACCACACATCTTCCAAACTTCCCGTCGTACTATCTCTACCCTGAAACAGTTTAACCGTCTCCGCTAGCTCCTTCCATATAAATCCAAATCCCATCAACTCCTGGTTTCCTCCCTTGTGTTCTCCCACTTCGACTATGGCTGTCTGGTGTATGGCGGACACTCGGGAGATTTCGAGGCCAAACTTAAACGCCTAATGAACTGCGTTTTGTTTTCGGAATCTCAAGAGATACGCATATAACCCAGTATTACACCAAGTTGAAGTGGCTCTATCCATCCAACCTCCGTCTGTACTTCCTTGCCACCTTTCTATACCAAGTCATCAGAACTCAGCGGCCTTCCTGTATTTTTCACAGCCTACAATTAAAATATTCCATTCAATCCCGTCTCACTAGATCTCGTACCTCCGACCTCTATCCACCTCCCCACCGAACTGCAGCGTTTGACAAATCCTTTATAATTCAAGCCGTCTCCTTCTGGAATACCATCCGTCTCCTTCTGGAATACCATCCCTCCCGATATCCGACATGTACAATCAGTTTCCTCATTTAAATCTCTCCTTTTTAACCACCTACTCCTTTCCCAACCCGATTGATCATGAAATGTAGATAAGAGAACTTCTTAAGTTCCCCCAGAAATGATTTTCTTTACTTATGCTATTTTATTTTCCCACGTTTGTATTATACATATCAGAATATTTTTAGTATAATAGTTCTATTTTTTGTTTTATTCTTTTTTCAAAATCTTAATCTTAATAATAATTGTAAATAATTAATTTTATGTATGACCACACAGGCATTTCTTCTGTATCTGTAATTTATCCTAAAGGGACAACAGTCCCAGGATAATAAAAAAATATTTTCATTTCACAATGTCATTTATCTAGTCATGTTCTTGAGCTACAGAAAACATGTAAATATTTAGTTATTTATATGTCAGTTATTAAATATGGTATTAAAAGCTAACAAATCTTTAGACTCTCCAAATTCCTATCGTCCAATCAGCCTTCTTCCTTGCTTTTCTAAATTATTTGAAAAAATTATTCTTCGTCGTCTCGATTCTCTTAATATCTTTAAGTCTTATATATCTTTAACTCTTAATAACTTATTCCAAATCATCATTCTACTGTTCAAAAATGCCATCAGTTAGTAGATTATGTTTCTAGTTCTTTAGAATCTAAGAATTATTGTCCTGGAGTTTTTCTTGACTGATGTCAAGCTTTCGATAAAGTTTGGCATGAGAATTGCTTTCCAAACTTAAAATTTTACTTCTTCCCACCTATTATTTAATACTACTCTCATATTTAACAGACAGACCTATTGTAGTAAAAGTAGGGACAGAATATTCAGACATTAAATCTGTAAAAGCAGGAGTACCTCAGGGCAGTGTCCTGGGACCAATATTGTTTAATATATATATGTCTGACCTACCCCAACACACTGACACCCTACTGGCTACTTTTGATACCGCAGTCCTCAGTTCAGATAAAAATCCTATTCGAGCATCCACCACTCTTCAAAACCACTTGAAAATGAATGAAAAAAAAAGTGTAGGTAGTATTCATTCTTAATCATAGCCCTTCTCCCGAAATATATTTTAATGACATTGAAATTCCTGCATCCAAGATTATTAAATATTTGGGTTTTTACCTCGACAAAAGACTAACTTAGAGGACAAACATTAGAAAAAAACGTATGGAATTAAACAGAAGATACGGTCTTTTATCCAGGTTACTTGACAGACATTCAAAATTATCTCTGACTAACAAACTAACACTCTATTAAGTTTTACTAAAACCAATTTGGACTTATGGCATAGAACTGTGGTGTTCTGCTGAAACTTCTAATATTAAAAAAATCCAGTCTTTCCAATCCAAAATTTTACCAAGAATAGTTGACGCACCATTTTATGTCACACCGATAGATTGCATAAAGACTTTAACATCCCAACAATTTCAGACACTGCAAAAAAAAAAACTACAACTTTCACCTAAGACTAACTTACAACACAAATCCTCTGACAGAAAACATTATAAGCGCTTGAAACCAGTACAGCCCACCTCGACGGTTACGTAGGCGGTGGCCAAGAGACCTGCTGAACTGAACTATTTCCTGGATTGTGATGGTATGCTGTGAAGCTGTCAAAAAATTTTCTCATTGCAAAGAAATTTGCAGAGCGCAAATTTAATTTTTTATGTCCAATTTTATGTTATGTATTAATAATAATAATAATAATATGTCAGTTATCACTTATATGTAATATGTGTATGTCTACCAATCAATTTTTTTTTTACTTTGTTAAAAAGTTACTTTCTTCCCTGCTACTGCTATTTTAGTGTAAAATGTAATTCATTTTGGATATACAATATATACAAGTTCAGACATAACAAACTAAAGCAGTGTTGTTGAGAAATGAATAATGTTTTCATTATTCATAAAGTCTTTTCATAAAGTCTTTAATAGCTTTCTAGTTAGTTAGTCATTTAGTTTTTAATCGGTAATAATGAGAAGCAAAAATTCAATTATTAATTAACACACTTATTTGAACTCAAACAAGAACACGAATTTTTTGATTTTGCCATTACTTTTGTGGTTTTTTCTTCCTTCCACAGTGCTAACATAAATTTTATGTAACTTATATGGGTGATGAGTCATTTAACTGAATGCTCCTAAAATTTGATTGAATGCCAAATAAAACCCTGTATGTTTAAAATTTACAATTAGTTCAAAAGCAAGGATGTCCATAAGGATAAAATATTAAAAAGTTATTCCTTAAGTTTATTTGAAAAAGAAAACAATATTATAATTAACAAATATTAAATATAAATATAACAATTATTAATAATTAATTATTGAAATAATAAATTAATTTTTATATATAAATACTATATACAATTAATAGTGGCATTTATATGGAAAAACATGAGGCAAAAACATGTACTCACAATTTATTTATTTTTTTAATTGCTAAATGATAACTATATTGCTTGAGTTTCATTTTATAAATTTTGCTACTGGTTTATAAAAATCATTTTACTAGTCCAATGATACAGGAGTGCCCACAAGGGGGTTTCATGGCGCATGGTGCGCCATCACAATTTTTGAGAGGGGTACATTTTGACGGATATAAATTTTTGGATTGAAAAGTTTCAAATAAGGAGACTAAGAGAATACATGGAACAAGTGTAATTGTAAATGATTTATGGTACTTTTATTTCTAATGTTTATAATAGGAGAGCAATAAAATATCTTGGGGAGTGGAGGGAGAAGTTTCATGCACAGTTGACGTTGGGAGGGGATGGTCACCCCTCCAATGATAATTTGATTAAAATGGTCTATATGATTTTCCATATCAATGCCTCAATTGATGAATCATGTTCAATAAAACATATGAACCATGGTATGCAAAAATATGAAGAATGTATATTTTAAGTTAACAATTACCAACTACCTTTTATTCTTAATGGGAATGATTTTTACTTTTAAAAATATTTTTTCACATTTAACAGTATATTGATGACCATTCAACAAATTTAGTTACTTACCCTTAGATTGAAACTTTCAATGACAAGAACAATTATTTTGTGCCAAAAGTAATGAAAAACTTTTTTTTTTATTAATATATAAAAAATGTTCAATATAAATGAAGAATTTAATAAACATTCTTGTTGGATAAATATTAAATTAATAAAATTACTCCTTAAAAAATTACAGCAGATATCTCATTAAAACAATTATAATAATAAAAATAATTGGGATATAGCATTATTTACATTACATTATTTAAAGTAAAATTTTAATATAAAGTTTAATATATATATATATAAACATTTAATGTCAAAAATAGCATGAATAACAAAAAATATACTTATATTGAACATTTTTTTTTTTTTATGATTCCAGATAAATTGTTGTACAAATTTCATAGAAAATTCATAAAATTTCATTGAAAGAACATGGTTTTGCTATTGGTTTGTGAAATTTTCATAGCAGAATTTATTAGAACATTCTTCAACTACATAATTATGCAAGAGGATATGAAAATAAATGCTAAACTTATAAACGTATTACAATTTAATAGTTTTTTCTAAAACATACATTGGTTACATATTTTTAACAACTTTTATGAATATCATGATAACTTTTTTGAGGGACTATAAATACACTTGTTTTGACTTGCTCAGTCAACTCCAATTTACAAAAGTTTTGTCTTTCGGTCAACATTACAACAATTTGTAACATTACCACACGATATAGTTCAGTTCAAAACTGATGCTCTCATGCAGGCATTCATTACTTGTGATCAGCAAAATTTAATGGTGTGTTGCTGAGATCTTGGGTTCCTTCTGAAGGAGTTGGTGGACTATTAGATCTTGGGCTTTTGCTCAAGGTCTGATCCTTTTCTGGGGAGAAAAATGCAAACAATGATTCATAGGTCATTATTACCAAATTTGATACAGAACAAATGAGAATTTTTCAATCAATTTATAAATATTCTGTTTCTATTATGTTATGAGCTATAGAATGTACTGCCTTTAAGAGGAGGTAAAATAAATAGTATGCAAAACATCAAAAATGAAAAAATAAATATATTTATTATCTTTTGCAGCTCCATGTCTTATTATAAAGTGAATAGATGTATTTAAAGAAAAATATAGTTTCATTTTTACCTGTCATGGATCTTGGGATTTGTGGAACATTACAGGGACAGATTGAAGAAGTGAGGCTCTGAACAGAATAGCTTGACTGCAAACTCGTAGGGGGCTTTTCTGGTATTGAAGGAATGCTATAATTATTCAAAATATTACTTTACTATCAACAAAATATAGTTGTCTTAATGTTTTATATTATTTATATTGAAAAATAATAACAGATAAAAACATTATCTAACAGTGCACAAACAAATAAAATAAGACCATAAACAAAAGTGCATTAAGATAAAGAGATATTATTTATCAACCTGAGATGTAATTAGATCTACAATTAGACATTATGACCCTAATTAAGATATAAATTAAATAGATAAAGAAAGGAGATGGTCCGGGGTAGCAGTCATAAATAGGCTAAATAGTGACAAAACTAGTTTATTAAAAGCCAACGTTTCGACCTGACTTTGCAGGTCTTCTTCAGGGAAGTTTGTTCACCTAGGAGTTTCACTTAGAACTGATAAAACTATTTTATTAAAAGCCAACGTTTCGACCCAACTTTGCAGATCTTCTTCAGGGAGGTGTGTTCAGCTAGGAGTTTACTTAGAAACTTGTGTTTTAAGTGAAACGCCTAGCTGAACCCACCTCCCTGAAGAATACCTGCAAAGTCAGGTCGAAACGTTGGCTTTTAATAAAATAGTTTTGTCATTATTTAACCTTTATAATGCAACTGTCAACTATTAAATATTCAATAGAAATTTTATATTTTGAAGGAAACAATATTTAAGATTTGACCCCATCCTATAATCGTTATTTATTAAATCTGTTTGATTCTTTATATATTGGTTTACTTGTAAACACATGATATGTTCACTTAAAATATTTGTGCAAATCAAGATTTGACAGTTTTCAACTCTATATCAATATCTGTTGTAATGATTTTACAAGTAATTAAAGAAATTTAGGTAAATATTTATGTATATATTTTTTTGACAACAATAATAATTTGGTTAATTTAAAGAGCTGTAAATTGTATAACATTAAATTTGATATAGTAATGATTTTAATATATCGAAAGTTATAAAAATATTCAGACAGTAATGGATCAAGTAGCTTCAAAAACATTCAAAGAAGATTCTACGTACAGAATAGAGTTCGTAGTAAGTGAATATGGAGTGGGTCCATTTCTAATGTCAACTCTTTACATAAATGGTTCTGATTGAAGAAAATTGTGAACAGTTTAAAGTGCCTTATCATTGTTTAGGTTACGTTTTTCAACAATTATTTTATGCTGATTGAATTTATGTTATGAATATTATGATGTTATCAATTTCAACTGTATTTGTATAAATAACAAGGCCTCTAGGATGATTGTAATTTATATTTAAAATATTTATAACTAACAATAATTAATAAATTGTAAAATTTATTTTTGATGTTATATACAAAACCGTCGGAAAAGTATTTATGTATTATATTAGACCGTATCATAAGTTAAAAGTAAAGATATTCAACCAGGATAAATAATTGAAAATGTTTTAATGTAAATAAATATAATTTTATATAATATTTTAGACATTATATCGGTTAAAAAGAGTATAAAACCCAAAATAATTTACCATGGTAGATTTAATCTGTAATTAAGTGGTTCAGGTGTAGTATTATTAAGTTGAGGTGTAGTACCCAATCGTAACGATGCTTCATCATGTTCTGGTAGAAGTCCGTTTTGCGCTCCTCGACCTATAAAATACAAACAGAATCAAAACTAAGTACTATTTTTTCAAATAATCAAAAAAGAAGAAAAATTATTAATAACCAAAGCAAGAATAATTCAAATAAAAAATGTGTGATTGAACTTTTCAAAAAATTTGGATAATACATTCAAAAATTTAAAAATTTTCATCTTTTGTACTTCTTATTTATTTATTCTTCTCTGTTCCAAAATGTAAATATATAACTTTTCTAAGGGATAAGTATTGACAAGGACCAAAGTCAAACGATTCATGTAATAAGATATTAAAGTCTGATGACATGACTTTTATATGGGCTTTGATGAAAACCAGGTAAATTACTAATTAAGTAATTCATTATAATGATCCAGATTTAGAAATATAAAAAATAAACAATCATAAATTAGTTATTTCAATAAGAATCAAAAAGGACTAAAATAAATATTTCAAAAATCCATTAATGCCTTATTTTAATTTTGCCTTGTATATTTTAAATTTACATATTTATGTAAAATAAACAATGTGTAATGAAAAAAAAATTGCAACCATAAATGGATGGCATTTAGCAAAATAAATATATGCATAATTCATAAAATATGCAAAAATAACTTAGAAATGGTTTTGAATGGGAATATTGCTAAATATGTTTAACGGAAGAGAAATATCTCTTGATTCAAGTATCTTTAGTGGGAAATTGAAGTTTAAAAAAAATAATGGTAAGAAAGTGTGACTTTTCATTTTATTAAAAGTAACCAAACTAAGCAAAGCTAATTTTGTCATCAATCTATCAATATAATGGCAGTTGTTAGAGGTGAATAAAATGTAAAATGAAATCAGGTTTTTGACCAAAAAGAAAATACACTTATTTGAATGCTTAAATGACTTCGAAGACCATTGAACTTTGATCTGACTACTCAAAACGGGCATTATTCCCGTCTGTTGAATGTTGTCCAAATAATAATAACTATTATTTTTTTAATATTAGTCATCATTATTATTTATTACTAGTTTTTTTTTTATCTTAATTCATTTTTTTTTTTTTTTTTTTTTTTTTTTTTTTTTTTTTTTTTTTTTTTTTTGAGTGAGCAAAAAATACTCTTATTGGTTACTCTGAACAAGAATCCTCTAAACAACTTTCTTTTTTATGGAATTCTATAAGTTAAGTAAAATGATTATGGCTGAAATTTGACTAATTGGAATTATTTCTACAAATAATTTTATAGGGGATTCATATAGAATTTTTAAAAAATAGATATATAGTGGTTCTTGAACTGTCAAAAAATATATTTTTAAAAATAACCTAATATATGTTTGTACAAAATAACTAGTATATGCTACTTGAAGATAAAATAAACCCTAGATATTTTTACAAATTATAATTACCTATAAGTAGAGGTGGAGTAGTTAAACCAAGGCAACGTATCCTCCAGGCATCCTGAAGAAGTTGAAGTCTTGCTTGCTTTCTCCATTTTGCTCTTCGATTTTGGAACCACACCTGTCATAATAAAATTGAAATGGATTCTATTAAATATTTCATTAATTAAGCAAATAAAAGATTAAATCTATTAAAAATATAATTGTAAGTGTAGTTATATATAATGTATAAGTATATAATAATGTATGTTAAATGTTGAATTTAAAAGGACTAGAAAAATATATGTGTGCCTCTTTTCCATTAATTTTTTTGACTTCAAGTTTATAAATACAAAATTATATATATATTTTTTAAATCTTAAAGCCAGAAAAGCTTATTGTGTTTAGTATTTCATATTTATAGTGTATTATAGTATAAAGAATATTATTTTATAATTAGTATAAAATTATATGTAGCCTACATTATGTAAATATAATAACAATAAACATTAGTTATTACGGACGATAAATTTTAGGATCATGTTTGAATATAATGAAGAACTTCTCCATTCTTCATATTAATTAGTATATACTTCAGGACTATAACTTCAAGAATTTAGTCTAGAATCTGAGCTCATCTGAACTTCCAATGAATTACTTTTCTAACCAGTGTTTTGTGACTATTATTGTTTATGATAATTGGATGTGATAGATGAAGACCTTCTCACCCATTAAGTAACTGCAAATAGCATTAAGTCCTATTCAGAAACCTTTAGTCTGTTATTCACAAATCTTGTCAAAAATATTACTTGTATTTGAACCAGGCAAAGTTTCGTATTCATCATGTGGACCAGATCTCATCTCACTTTGATAAATGATGTATGAAGGAGCCTCTAAGATACACAACAGAGGTCTCTTTTCAGAACAATTCTTTTCCTCCTCTGCCGACCCAGTCTACTGTTTATGACCTTCAACGCCTTTCATTGTCTTTCCCTTGTTCTTCTCCCCTGTACTCAGGTCTTATATCTTTGTTTGGACTACATTGGCTTAAACATTCTGATCATACATAGAATTTGTTTCATCAAAATTATACTGTTACTTAGTGTAAGCAACATTTTTCTCAGATATATCATTAGATTTCTGAGGATAAAATATTTTTTTATACAGATTTTATTTCATTCAACCAAAGAACATGATTTTCTAGTTCTTTTTGAATTGATTTACATGAAAAAACCTTTGCTATTTATGATTTCAGTTTATAAAAATATTGTTATAAGAGCATAATTGTGAATTAAAACAGAAACATGAACAAGCAACCTCTTTTGCATCTATTCCTAAGTTATATTAATATCTTTAAAAAATCAGAAAATCAAGTTCCCTTTCAATTCTTGTGGTAGAGAGCACATTACTCTGCTTTACTTCAAAATTTGTAATTAGTACCTTTGGTTAGTTCGTTAAAGATAAGTTCTTATGTATCTTTGTGCCACTATACTGCAAATATGTCTTCAGTTAGAGACAGAAAATTTTTAATAATGGAATTCAGAAATTTTCCTATTTCCCTCTTCCACAAGTGATAGTATAACTGCTTAACTTTTAGCCCAACCTTTTAGTAAAGTGAAATAAGTTATTTTTCAAGAAAATGCAATAAAATATTTTGCATACCAAAGATTTTTATGTTTCATATTCTTAAAGTTTTTTTGTAAGCTAGTGACTACAGAGATGGTCAATTGGCAGGAGAGAAAAATATTCATAATCAATGAACTACTTAAATAGTAAATAACACTTACAATTTAACAATTATTCATAGCTGGCTCATTGCCTGTATCATTATACTTTTAAAGATATTTTGGATTTTTTCACCTGAACTCGGGCTTCAGACAAGCTTATTCTTAATGCCACTTCCTCTCTTAGGAAAACGTCAGGATAGTGAGTTTTCTGGAAGAGGGATTCCAATTCTTGAAGTTGTTGAGGGCTGAATGTTGTCCTATTTCTCCTCTGAAAAATAAAAGCTTAAAATTAAAAAGAAAAAAAATAATGACATAAATTGCATTTTAAACTGAGCTTCTGCGCATCAAGCATATTGACTTTTCTGTTTGATTTTTGGTGTTGTTGATAATGAAATTTTGATTTGCCTGATTTCTAGTTATTGATTGACAAGAAGATCCTTGGGTCACTGTTTTTTTTTACTCTGTGTCCGGGATTACCAGTTAACAGAAAGAATGAATGATGTTGTGCTAGAGGAGATTATTAAATACTATCGTAAAATGTATTGTACTGAACAAAAAAACAGTTCAATTAACCTCACTGAAATCTAAAAATGATCTTGATAATCTTTTATTATAAGTTACTGAAGGGGATGGTACTATTTGCCATGTCTTTGGGTTGCAGCACAACAAATCTGTTGCTGCTTATACACCACATAATACATTGACAGGCAAACAATTCCACCCACTAGATTTTTTCATCTAAAAATATTTCTGCTTTGGATTGGTCTATTGTTTTTAATGAATAAATAGGTAATTTTTTTGTTTGTTTTCAATTAGGAATGTTAATATAGAGGACAATAACCCTTAATCCTTAATTCAATGAAATGATTCTAGATTCCAATGTTTACTTTCTATGGAATCAAAATGTTTATTCAGTATCATTAGTTCAGTGCCGTTTCTTGCAGCACATTTCTTAGTCACGGCTTTTAATTTTTTCAATATTAAGTTTAAAAATACCTCTTAGTGCTGAAGATGTTGCGCCTGGTGTGGCACTTATTGATGATGGACATTCCATTAGATATGCAGCTAATACCATTGGAGTTCCATATGAAACTTTACGAGACGCTATCAGGCGTTTTCAGGAAACTGGTTCTTACAATAGAAGGCCCGGTTCTGGACGGCCTAGGGTAACAGAACCACGAGATGACCGGTTTTTGACTTTGAGAATTTTACGAAACCGGCACCTTACCGTAGTTCAAGCGATTCATCAGCTCGAAGAAGTTCCAGGTGTGAAAATTTCTGAACGTACTGCTCGAAGAAGATTAAATGAGTATGGATTAATGGCTTTTTGTCCAGTAAGAGGACCAGAGTTGACCAGAACTCACATAATAATACGGCTGGCTTTTGCTCGAGAACACAGTCATTGGACAAATGGAGTGCTGTACTTTTTACAGATGAGTCAAGATTCGCTCTTCGATCTCCAGATGGGCGTGAAAGGGTGTGGAGAAGAAGAAACGAAAGATATGCAGCCTGTAATTTTTTCTAGAGCCAACCTTTCCAACGTGGTTCTTTAATGGTGTGGGCTGGGATTTCAATGGAGAGCCGCACAGAATTGGTTGTTGTTGTGGAGGGTCTTTGATGGCCATTCGCTATGTAGATGAGATTTTGGAACCTCATGCGTTGCCTATCCTCAACGAAATCGGCGATCGTTCTATTCTAATGCACGCACACATGTCGCCCGCATAGTGCAGACGTTCCTTCATCAGAACAATATTGAGGTTTTAGCCTGGCCAACACGTTCTCCATATTTGAACCCCATTGAGCATTTATGGGATAACCTCAGAAGACGAATAAGAGCGCGTGCAACACTTCCTGATACCTGATACACTAAAGGATCTTGAAAGGGCTCTTTGGGAGGAATGGGCTATCCTCCAGCAAAGATATACTAAGAGGCATTTTTAAACTTAAAATATTGAAAAAATTAAAAGCAGGAGACTAAGAAATGTGCTGCAAGAAACGGCACTGAACTAATGATACTGAATAAACATTTTGATTCCATAGAAAGTAAACATTGGAATCTAGAATCATTTCATTGAATTAAGGATTAAAGGTTATTGTCCTCTATATTAACATTCCTAATTGAAAACAAACAAAAATATTTATTCATTAAAAACAATAGATCAATTCAAAGCAGAAATATTTTTAGATGAAAACATGAAAAAATCAAGTGGCTGGAATTTTTTGCCTATCAGTGTATATGCCACTATTAATTAACCAGAACAAATTTAAATGTTACAGATGAAAGGTTCTCTATAAATTATATAGAAAAAGATTACAGCAGCAATGAAAGAATCATGATGTGAATTTTCGAACAATAATTGAACAAAAACATCCTTCTTTTCAAAAATTAAAACTCACAGTTGTCGAAACTATTCAAGGTTGGCTCTGTTAATCTGAGTTTGAACATATGATAGTTCAATTCACAGTGATCTGTGTATATCGCTGAAATTTTGCTAAGAGAATCCCTTCTCAATTTAATCATCATACTGCTTCTCCTTGTGCAGGGTCCATTAAAGAACAGCCTTGAATGAATTTGTTTCTTAGAATGCCAATATTGCCTAACAATTTCAATACAATTTCCTCAATTTTCCTTTTGATAAAGCTTGTACTTATACAACAAAGTGGTTCGAGTGTTATGAGAATATTTTCAGAGCCTTTCCTATTATTAGTAATATTTAAGTTCTTAAAATAATAATTTAGCATGTTTTAAAGACATATAATTGGAAAAATATCAATTGGAGTTTTAAATAATACTATTAATATATGATCTAATTATTTAACCAGTTTTAACAATGAATACAAAATATAAAACACAATATTAAGTTTATAAATTATTTCCTCCAACTCATTCTGAGGTTAGATGGAAATCATTTTATTTATTTTCTTAAAACTTCAATAGTGGTTTTGTTACTTGTTTAATTAGATGTTAGAAATGTCACTTATGACTTTTTGCAATAAACCAATGATATTAAAATTAGTAACATTAGTAAACTTTTTTTTTGAGTTATGTGAGAATCTTTTAAATTTACATTTTTTTTATTTTTTTTATTTTAATGGAATTTACAACTGTATTACATAGAGAATACAATAAGTAAATGAGAAATTGGTAACATGGCATGTACAACATGAAGAGAAACTACCCATTGGTAGAACTCAAATTAATTATTAATTAGTTCTATATTAGAAGATCCCGAGGCCATCTTCTTTTCAGACGCCTCGGAGGGTTATCAGGGATCGAGGAGGAAGCAAGGTTTGAAACGAGAGGATTCGGATGGTTCTGCAGTTTGTTATGGAAGGAAAGGTATCTGGATTGGGCCAGATCGGAAACATATGGAACATTAAGGTCTTTATGGATGATTTTATTTGTGACAAAGTAAGGAGCGTTGAGGATTTTACGAAGGATTTTGGATTGTAAGGATTGGATACGAGAGGAATTCGATGGTTTAGTGGAGCCCCAAAGCTCAATTCCGTAAGTCCAAATAGGTCTTATTATTGTCATATATACGAGTTGTTTATAATTGATTGAAAGCTTAGATCGTTTGTCTAGTAAGTGCTGCAGTAGTCGAAAATGTCGGGCGGTTTCTAGTCATTTCAGTCTGGTATGGGGGTTCCAAGTGAGTCGTTTGTCAAGGTGGAGTCCGAAGTTGGAATAGTTGGAATAGCGGATTTGCTCAACAGGAATAAGTGGAGTATTATTGAAGGATACTGTAGGACAAGAGGTCATAGGTTTACGATGGAGGGTAAAGGTGATTTGATGGGATTTGTTGGAATTTATTTTTTTTCTCCAATTTTTACACCATTCTTCAAGGCTTGTGATATGTGATTGAAGAGTTTGGGATGCAATTAAAGGATCGTTATTAACTGATAGGATACACGTGTCAGGTGGTGATAGGTGGCATAGGTGGTGATGACAGTGTTGGATTGGGTTGGGATGTCAGCTGTATAAACTGTGTAAAGGATAGGACCTTGAGGAAAATTTACATTTAAAGAGAATGAATTTCATTGTAAGAAATAAATACTTATTTCATTATGAAAAAAAAAATCTTGTCTTGTTTAGAATAAAAATGTAAAGGGTATAATATAAAACTATTCCAAAAATTAAAATTTTCTTTTTATTTAGAACATTCTTCCCTCCTCTGGATCCACCAATTGAATAAATAAAGTTTTATTTTATATAAAATCTCAAATACTGAATCGGTAAAACAGTTCAATTTCAAGAAAGATAAATTAAAGAAATTTAATTAACCAATTTCTTAGACTATGAATTTCAGAAACTTCAATCTTGGATTCGTAAGGTGAACCCTCTGGTGGTATCTCTATATATCCATGACATGTTCAAAATACAGTATTACGGACCCTAATTTTCCAATACATATAGAAACTATTAATCAGAATATTTAAAAAAAATAATAATATGCCTCATTTTAAAATTATATTTCTTTCCAACTGTGTTGAATATAGGTAGTTAAATAATACATATCCCCTACTTTGGGGCCCACTTAGTAAATGGTACCAGGCCGGATTTATGTTGAAGATTTCTAAGAACAAAAAAAACTTTTATTTCAAATTGAAAGAGTATTTTTTCATATATTTTTTTTTTATCATTGTGTTAATTTTTTCTGATGATGAGTTGAATAATTATTCGGCTGAATATAAATAGAATATCAGCGACTTCTGAAAGAAAATCAAGTTAATAAAAAATATATTATATTATTTCATATTCAATGGTTACACTCGTTAATAATTATTCTTTAGTTGAATTATATTAATACAAAAAGATTTAAAAAAAAAATTTGAAATAAAGTTATAAACCAATTTTTAAAAAATACTCTGCTGTAGAACTCCACTTACCAATGGGGTCCAAATGCTGGGTATTTTGTGTTTTATTTATTTTTCTTGACCATTGATATAAATTATGTAAAACGATTATTAATAAATATCAGTTTATAAAGTATTTGTGAGAGGGAAAAAATAATTTTCTTTTTCCATACTTCAGGATAAAAGGAATAAACTATATTCATCAGCAGTAACTTATAAACCACCACATAAAATAGTTTATCTTTGAGGTCCATTTCTTTCAGAATAATATATCCAGTCTAATTACAACTATTTCGATGAAAATTAATACTATTTCAATAAGAATTTTCTGTTTCTATGTAGATTCTCTAGATTATCTTTTAGACTATCTCAGATTAGATTATCTTTTTAATATTTATATATGGGCTAATAAATTTATATGCAATAGAAAAGATTTAAGATCGTATAGAAAAGATTTTTACCACTGTACATAGTTTTAAGTGTCTTGGCATAGTTGTATTTTGTAAATAGATTTTTTTTTTTAGTGTGTATAGTATGTTTAACTAATGTTTTCTGTACTTATTTCTCTTTCGTTTTACTTTTTGTGTTTGTTTTTAATTAGGCCAGATATAATAATGAAATTTTATACTTTTTTGTTATTCTAAAGGGACTTTGTCCCAGAGTAAAATTATTTTCTATTCTATACTAAAAGATCTTACCAGCTCAGAATGGATGAAGAGTATGAAATTGAATGTCATTTACTCTCCTTTCCGTGGAGTTCCAGCGACCAAAGTTAGGCCAACTGAGATGTTGGATTCCTTTACCACAAATCAGGTCAGGAGTCAGAAACCACAACTAGTATTATTGGGTAAATATCCCGATAACATGCTCCTTTTCATAATATAAAGATGTTTCCTCGAATTTTATTGCCTAGATACAGAAGGCTCAACAAGGTTCGTTGATATTTTGATTTTAATGCGACAGAAAAGGAGGCACCAACAGTAGATCCCACAATCAGGTTTAAAAGAAAAATATAGAAGTGAATTCGGTGAAAGAAAATTCTCAGTTAAAGGGCTGTGGTTTGGAACAGAGGCACCCATCCCCCTCAAGGCAGATGGCACATAAACCTTCCCCCACCCCTCCTAAGGTATTTAAATACTCTCTTCTTAAAAACAATGCAAACAAAAGTAGAATTTGAACATTCGAAGATTATATACCATTATACATCCTGTGGTCTGTTCCATGATTTCAGTTGTCTTTTGATTTGAAACTTTCCATTTTGAAAATTCATAACCCCATCGAAATGTGGGCACCTCAAAATTGAAAATCCTGCCAAAATGTGTTCCCCCTCATTAATTTTTATAGTGTAACTTGCACCATAAAAACCCTTCTTGGCACCCATGGTTTGGAAGCATGCCTCTTACTACAAGTCATTTCATGCAGAGGCTGAGTGTTGGAAGGGTGCAGCTACAGATTATGGTAGAAACTATTATTGTAGATTCCTAGGAAATCTTCCATCTATTAATCTTTACTGTCGCTTATTCGATTCTATAGACAATTCTTAATATTACAATGGTCACACCTCACTCTCTTTTGTTTTGTTTTAAATAATATATGCTGATTGATCAGCATACTGTGATTTAGAAACTCAATATAATTGAGCAGCCATTCAAAATTGCAGTGGTCCAACCTCTCCCTATAGCACTAGTACCTTGATTGCGGCAGATTGGCCTCGACTATAGTATATTGTAATGTTATGGTACCACAAAGGCAAATACTTGAATTTTTAACATACAGTTAAACAGTTAACCCGTCAATTCAGGTATAATCAGGAAAGAAAAAAAATTATATTATAAATAAGGTGATCAAATACAGTACATCTCAAAACATACATGATATCATTTCAAAATATCTAAACACATAATGAAGGAAAAGGAGGTGATGTAACAACAGTCACAGGCAGATCTACAGGGGAGGGGAGGGGAGCTTTCAGGCTGAAGCCCCCCACCCCAAATAGTAAAATATAACCCTTTTTTTACAGAAAAAGTATTAAAAACTATCTCTTAAAGAATTCTTGCTCGTGTAATTAAATTTAATAGGATTTCAAGAACAATTTAAACACCATTTCATATAGTTAGTTAATTTTTTGTTTCCAAATTAATTATCGTTATATATATATATGAAAAAAAATACCCTCCCCCAAATTAAATCCTGGATCTGCTAGTGATAACAGCTGATGTAAGTCCATTTCAAGATAGTACTGTTTAATATTAAAAAACAAAATATTTTATGACAGAACATTCATATGTTCATACCCTTGAATTAAAAATGACAAAAATTTCAAATTTGAGTAAACTGTACCAAAAAAAAAAAAAAAATCAGATTAGGGGATAGGTTAATTGTTAAAATATATGTTTTTCTATTAGTCTCGATATCTAATAATTAGAGGACATTAATAAAGAAATGCTCCTTTACATATGGCAAAAGAGTAATTAGTTTTTTTGGTATGAAAGGATTAGGGATGTGATGGATTTTTCTAATTCTTGTAATGTTAATATTAAAACGTTTTCCATGAATCACGAGTCACTGATTCATTGAAAGCTCGGGTTCAGCAACAGGAAGGATATCCTGATTCACTTAATAGAGCTTCCTTTTCATTTTTTGACTTAATGCTGTGGAGATCTCGATCCATTGAAAAAACTTACGATTCATATTTATCGATCGTTGGTCAGTATCAGTGAAAAAAATGAATTTATTTTATTAATTTCCTGGTCAAATCCGCCATCTTTAGTATTAATAGCTTGCTCAAAAGACTAGACTTTCATCTGAATCGCATTATGGAAACAATGACGGTTTTTCTACACTATTTGGGATCTAGGACGGATTTATTTTGGAGGATCGTTTGCAAAACAAATTAATTTTGTTCCGATTACAATGCATTGATTGTTTCTTCATATTTAACTATTTCCAGGGATGTCCCGCTCAAGTTCGATGGCGTATCTCTCTTCATCCCAAGAAATTTTACTACTCTTCTCTTCATAAAAATAGTACAAGCGTAAGTATAATTATAAATACTGTGAATGTTAAACAATTATAGTTGCAGTCTGTTCCATGTTTTCCCCTTTGTTCTATGGTTTAAAAGGATTTCCAAATCGAAATGACACAAAAATATGGTTCCTTCCAAAATTTCTAATCCCGTCAAAATGTGCTCCCCTCAATAATTCAAAACCCCGTTGCTAGATCGAAAATATGTTTCTATCACTGGACAATCCCTTACATCGATAAATTCAATAAATACTACTGAACATGATTTAATGTCTTAGCAAGGATTTTGGATTACTGAAGATTTCATATATGAATAATTTGTTGGAGTATCATAGCTCATTCGTTACCTTAAAACTAAATAGGCATTATTGTAGATAAATAAATTATTTTGTCAATACTCAACTTGACAAAAATTGAGTTTAGAGTTTACATAAAAAGGAGTTGTATACTTTCATTCAAATTCATTTTATATATTTTTAAATTATCGTTATAGAAGTGCAAAGCGTTTACAAAATAATTATCATCAATGGCTTACGTCTAAAACCTGAAGTCCAAATTAACAAAAAAAAAAAATTACATTTTACATAGCAAACGTTAAACAATTCTTGAGAAAAATGAAACTTTTTAATAATTTTCGTTCGTCGTATTACAAAAATAAATAAATTAAAAAAAATAATCTGACATTGTGAAAATATAACGTCGCACATCACAGGACAGTACTAAAATTTTAATTTTCTGGGTGACAAACTTAATTTTAACTAGTGTTGCCCAAAATCGGTCTTGTGCAAGTGAAAAGTGCAAGACCAAGACCAAGGCCGCTTAACTTTTCCAAGACCAGGACTGGAAAAAAAATCGATTTTTTAAAATAAAAATTAAGGCAATACTTTTGCATTTAACTCCTTTAATTTTTATTTCGGTCTTAGTTAGATTACTACTATCTAAAATATTACAGTAATATCTCTGTAGTAATAAGCTAATAAGTAACTGCAAGACTGTTGCGAGACTCTAGCGCAAGACAAAGACTGGGTTTGCAAGATCAAGAATAGTCTCGGTCTCGCATTCGACAACACTAATTTTAATCTTCCTTTCTCCTCAATAAAAGTAAACACTTCAATAACAGTATTTTCATTAATATGTTTTGAAATTAATATAATCTCAAAACATTAACTGATTTTATTGACTGAATTGAGCTCAATCAAAAATAATATTTTTATTTTTAAAAACTAAGAATATATTTATCTTTGAACTTAGTCGTCCCTAAATTCTGCCGTCGAAACAAGTTTCCCGTTGCTTACTCCTCCAGTTCTGACTCTGCCACATATTATAATAAATGAATGCACAACACGTTTTCAGAAGACTTTAGAAGTTTAATGAATAGGAATTAGATGGTTTTAGAAGTAAGCAAGGCTTGTTTAATCACTAAAATCACCGTAACTAACTAGTTTATAAAAAAAGACTTTGATGGATATGGAATTAAGACTCAATAAAAAATTGTTTTTTTCATTTCCAATATGACAAAATCATTTGTTTTCTATTTCATATGTAGATAACAACCATTAAACTTAATAATATTCTATTTAATTATGATTATAAAACATTAATCAGTGTAACATACCTGCCTTCTCCTGCCGAACATGTACTCGGTGAGGAGGTCTCCGTGCAGGGGTGATATGAACGGACCTGCCATGGTTCTGCCGCCACAAACTGGAACAAACCCCCTTTAAACTTTCGCCAGGCCACGCCCCCTCGGTTCCCATTGGCGGACTAACTACTCCCACCCCTTGTTTATTGACCTCCCTTCATCTACCCCATGATTTCACTTGATCAATTAGCCCGGTGAGAGCTTTTTATCCAGAGGCAGTGATGCCAATTAGGGTTCGGTTTGTAGATACACGGATGTCCTTGTTCGTTCCACTTGTCCTCTTTTTGCTAGAAAACCGAAACCCAATGCTCTCCCATACAGATCCACCCGATTCATTTTGCCAGCTACCACTCGAATTCATTAAAAGGATTCCGTGGTAAAGGGAACGGTACACATTTCACATACCAAAAAAAAAAAAAAAAGTTCAACCAACACCGCCATCTAAAATATTAATATACGGAGTAACGCCAAAAAAATGGCCATAAACCAGAAAAAAATAATGTATATACATATACATACACACACATATATATATATATATAGGTGTGTGTGTGTGTGTATGAATATCCTATGAAATGTAAGTTTTCACAGGAAAGGTTATATTTAGTGAAAACACTTATGAAATAAAGACATTTTTATTCAGAATACCTTCATTTTCTATATATTTCCCTCAATGTATTACCAACTTTTTAATCCTAGAACGGAAAAATTCTGCATTTTGTGAAGAATGAGACCAGGCAATGTGTTTTTGACATCAGAATCATTTTTAAAAAATTTATCTTAGGATCCGTTAAGAAAAAAAAATATTAACGTACCTTGTAAAGCATATTAAATAGCAAACAATAATTTATACCAGAGTTTGAAATTATTAATATTTTTTTCACAAAATTATGTAATAATTATATTTGATTTTTAATTTAAAGATCGTATCTCATTTATAAATACAAATTTAAATCGATCTTTGATGTTTATTTATTCGATTAAAAAGCTTTGTGTAATACGGTTTTACATAAATAATAATGATTAAATTGTGATAAGAAAAATTTAATCAGAAAATAAAAATCACTTTCTACAGACAAATTAAGTTATTTTTAAAATTAGAACTAATTAAATATGTACTAACTTAAAATATGTACTACATGTTAAGAATATAGCGGAGTTCCTCATTTTTATCCGAAATAAATAAAATCTGAAGAAAATTTTTCTAAATTTTTTTTAATTGTTGTATATATATTTTTTTAATATCTAATTATATCAAAGGGAAAGATTTTAGATTAAATAAAAATATTTACTATACAATTTTTTTATCATCTAAAATACGATAGAATTTTGGTTTTTAATGCGAATAAATAAAAACGTCACCAATTCATTATTTTTTTTTATCAATTAGTTGATATTTTTAGGACTCAATGGCTAATTTAAAGTATAACGAAAAGATACATTAATTTATATATTGGTGGAGGCATAAGTTCGTTCCAAATAATTCCAGTTCAAGCATCTGACAATAATGATGCTTATCATAAAAGTCAAAGTCCGCTCTTCCAAACTGTTGTGTTTGGTTTCATTGGCATTAGTTTTGTTCGTGCTACAGCGTAGGCGTCCGAACTTCGGAGGACCACCCAAAGCTATGTAAGGTATACGTGGACGATGCCTTAACAGAACGTACTGCTTCAAAATGGTTTGTCAAGTTTCGTTCTGAAAATATGAGTCTCAAAGATCCACCCCGCTGTGGTCGTTGATCCAACCACCAACCCACCGAGGTTGTTTCGAGTGATATCTGATCGAACAAGACTGTTCGCTAGAGGAACGATTAATTGCGGAGACCCTGAAAATAGGTTTTGGAATCGATCAAAGACATTTAAAAAAGCTTGGTCGAATATCAATCTGAAAATCTTTTCTAAACCTGAACAAAAGGAAGCCATTTCTCAAATGAATAGTGGCCTGTGACAAAAAGTCATCATTCATCAAGTAGTCCTATCATCTACGACAATGTAGTCCGCAGGAGATCGTGGACAACTGCTGACGAGCCGTCTAATGCTATCCCAGAAGGACGGCCTACATTCAAAAAAGATTTTTCTCTCGATATGGTAAGATTATCGCGGCTTGGTGTTATACGAGCTGCTTCCATAAGGAAAAACGATTGATTCGAAGATCTACTGCACGCAGCTAACGAAATTGGACCAACCACTGCGACAGAAACGCACAGAACTAGTCACTCGCTACACTAGGTGTAGTATTCCACCATAACACTACAAGACAACGCTTCGCAAAAATCACACAGCAAAAGTTAGTGCAGCTTGGCTGGTTGTCATTTATTACACCCACTGTTTAATTTACTATGGCAATCCCTTCCAAGGCTGTCAGGGATATTGTCATAATAATTCTGCTTTAAGAGCTGGTGATAATTTATTGCTGTGGACTGTAAAATTAGAGAAGTTAATGGATTAAAGAAGTGAATATGTAAAAGTATTGCTATATTTTATTACGTGTAATTTTATACGGAGGTTAAATTTAGGTGGGTTGGGATACTTGCATTTTCTCTTTTCTTCTAGTTGCCAGTCTTCTTGTTCATCTTCCCTCTCTTCCTTTCTTGGCCCCTTGCCGGCCGCTGTATTTTTTTTACTCCATATTTAGTAAACCAGTGGAATTACAAATTTTTAAACTGGCCAGTCTTGTCAATCTCTCACGCTACGTGAGTGTCTACGCTTCAACAATAGCGGCGTCACAATAACAACTGAAGTATATATCCAGTATGCTCCAACAGCTGTGCTTAACTTAAATTAAATTTAAATATAAAGTTTGATGTGTTCCCTAAACACCCACCGTATTCTCCGAACATTGCACAATCCGACTACCACTTATTCCGGTCCCTCCAAAACTCTCTCAATGGAAAATTGTTTGATGATGAGAGAGATAAGAAAAAGTATCTCGATCTAAACCATCTAAACCCCAGATGTTTTACGAGAGCAGAATAACGAAATTGTTAGAATGATGGCAATAGATCATTGATAAAAACCGCGAATAAATTATTGAGTTAAATTTATTCTTTATACAAAAAAAAAAAAAAAAAAACCACCGAACGAACTTATGGATTCAACAAACAATACATAACAATTCACTTAATATATATACTTGTTTATTTTAGGGTCGATAATCTTTTAATTTCAAATAGACGCTCATTCATAAATGAACTCACAAGTTTATTTCAATTTACATGATTAAATTACAGACGCAGCTGGAATCTGTTTTAATATATTTTTAGTATCCTAGTTTCAATAAAGAAATATATGTTATACCTGCGGTCGGCTGAGTTAGAAAGGTGTAGGCCAACTAAATTTGTTTTCTCTTTTAATTTTAGTAATAGTATTGTGGACTTGAAAGTACGAATAAATAATTTATTTTTTCACGAAGTGTATCGTTTGCAATAGCTGTTCATGAATATAAAAAGAAATCACACCTAGCATACAAAATGTGAGTGATATTAATAATTGGTAATTGGTTGACTGTCGTGGATAATGAACAGAAGAATAGTTGGGGTGGTCAGTCAAAAAGGAAGGCAAAAATAAATGATAATATTTATTTTTACATATGCCAACGTTTCGACCTGAAGTTCAGTCCTTCATCAGAGCTAAGAAAATAACCAGATAACAAGGTATGAGAAACATAAGTGATATTAATAATTATAATATCGGACAATTTTTGTTGTAAATCAAACATTATTCCATGATCATATTTGAAAGGCTCGTGCAGCGTTAAAAATCAATATTTTACTGATTGAATTCGTGAATTATTTTAGGTAACTAATCTATTTATAATTGAAGAAAATAAAGTTATTTTTCTGCACGGGCTGCCGAGTGTTCAAATTTAAATTCATAAAAAAAAAAAATTACTCGGAAATCGCGTGTTTCTATTGTCATATATAATGGCATACTAAACAATGTGAAATTAATTGGAATGACAGTAAATATTATTAAAAAAAAAGAGAGGATTAATTACGGCTCATTATAATCTGTAACCATAAACGATAAACGCAGTAAAATCCACTAACCCAACTTTGAATTTCTGAAATAGAAAAACGGACATTTCATATGAAATGAGCTAATGTGTATGTATATATGTGAATCGGAAGAAACGGGTCAAACATCAGTGGTGGGATTCAGGGAAAATAATAAAAACACTCAAACGCTCTTGTCCTATTTTCATTTGTTTAAATTTTATTGGCTAATTAAAAATAAACAATATTTCAAACTTGTATTAGTATTTATGTTAAAGAAAATTTAAATATTTTAATAAATGTTCAAAAATACCACCATTGACTTCTAAACCTTTCCGATTTCGTCTTCGAAGGGTGACAGTGCTCTTCTAAAGGCTTCATATCTTCCTTTAATATTTAATTAGTGCATACCGAGTGTCTTATTTTAATTTGTATACACTTATTATTTTTGAACCAGCCCCATGAACAATAATCCATAACAGTGAGTTCTGGAGATCTTGGAGGCCAACCAATTGGACCACCGTCACCACTCCAACGATCTGCAAACCTTTTATCCAATTATTGCCCCATCAGACAAGCGAAAGAAGCGGGATCTCCGTCGTGCTGGGAGATCGAGAATATTTTCTACTTCTTCGAAGTCTTACAAGCGAGTAGTTCGTTCAGATGTAATAGCATTTGGAAGTGTCCCAGTCTCGCATAGCTTGAAAACTCTGAGAAATATATTTTTATCAGGGTGTCTGTGATAAGGATACCGTTGCCGATATTCTTCAGAAGTAGCTGTGGTAGTAATCACATAGGGAAAACATATGTTTATACATAATTTGTCAACCGTGTTTTTTTTTTTTTGTCAGTACGCCATATCTTACTCAATTCTTCATAAAATCCAATAATTGAGCTCTCATTTTGAGGATCTTCTTCTTCAGGTGGAGAAAAACTTTTTGGCCTCTGAAATTTCAAGAAAAAATGAAAAAAAAAGAAACTTTATTTGCGAATAACTCAAAAAGTATACACTTTCCTTCCTCACTAATAGTGTTGCCGAAAATTGGTCTTG